TGGAAGATTAGTTAGACTGTAGTGTGGATGCATGCAAAAAAAAGAAAAAGAAAACAAAGGATGACCTGAGTCACACCACCACCACTACCATTACAATCAGCACACAAGAATACAGGCCAGTGTAACCACAATCAGTAGTGGCACACGCACCCACACAGAATTGCTCATACTGCTGCTGCTGTCTGCATCACCCTTCTTGTTGTTTGTGAGTTCAGGAGGAAGTGTTGTTGTTGTGGTGGTGGTGTTGGTTGTGTCTGTATTACCCATATCATCTGGTTTATTTGTTGATCCACTTCCTAAAGGGGTGACGTCTTTCAAAGGAGAAGAAAAATCTTCGCCAGTACCGTTTTGAGGCTGTCCAACATTATTCTCAGCTTTACTGTGTTCATCCTTCTCTGCGTGAGAACTCTGAGGTGTATCAGACACCGGATCCTGAACTACGGTATTCTGGTTATCTGAACTACCAGAACCACCCGTATTCTGTTGACTGAGAGAATTGGGTGACTGGTGCCCATCTGTTTTAGGTGTTGTTTCTTTTGGTTGCTCTCCAGATATCTGTGATGCTTCCGCCTGATTATCTATCGTACCAGAAGTTACGTGATCATCACCACGGGTTGATTCCTCCATTTGTTCTTTATCAGTACTTTTTCGACCTTGTTCCATGAGTGTTGGCCCACTATCAGGCACGTTTATGGACGGATCACTTTTCCCCAGTCTGCTACTCTCAGACATATCACTCCGCTCAACTCCAGGACTACCAGGAAGACCATCAACACCAACAGCACCTGGTTTACCCTCAGCGGATGCTTCACCATGTGAAGAAGCCAGAGGAGCATCTGCAAGAGGTGGTGGTGGATGTTGCTGCTGGACTGTGGAATTAACAGGGACCTCTTGAGGGCTGAGAGAACCTTCACTTCCCATTGGCACAGAGACTGTTGATGGGTTGCTAATTGTTGTTTTTCCTACTTTATTTTATCTCATGTATTCTTTTTGTTTGTCTATCTTCATCAATACTATCCCTATCTTCCTCATCCTCTTGAAGTTCCTCATCCTCATACACCATCCAACTTTCAGCAACTGCAGGAATAGCACGACGAACAAGAGAAGGAACACCAACAGTTGAAGGTTTAATAAGGGCATCAGAAGCTTTAGGACTATCAGCCCATACTAACCCACAAGCACAACAGAGTGTAAGAGTTAATAAACAGAGCAGGTAACACCTCACCATTACAACCTTTATCATTATTGCTGATTATTATTTCAATAAACTGATACAAGAAAGAAAAGAAGGAAATAATTGAGATAGAAACAAACAAACATACACCATTACAACAAATACTCACAGTGGAAAAGATAGGAGCAGTAACAGCAGAGTAAAGCAAGAAAAAGGAATATTACGCTTGTAGTGATAATATGTATCCATTAATAGAAGAAAAAAGAAAACACCACCATACCCAAATAAGAGAGAGAGCCAAAAACACACACAATATCCCAGAGCTCTAGTTTATGTATATTAAATGGTTCACACATACGCATGTCTATATTTAGAATAAATGTATACCGTCAGTAAGCAGAACAGNGGTCCTAAAGGATCAGGATAAACACCACCAGGCACTCCAGCCAATCCAGGGGCACCATGTACACCACGATAACCCTGATGTGGGTTAGCCATCACGCTTCCACAGAAGCAGTACAGCATGAAAAGCAGTAGGCACAGCACGTGGGCCATCATCATCTACATAGTCATAATAGTGGTAGTGGTTGTTGGGTTTCGCTTAAAAATACTCTACTACAACGAAAAAAACAATATGAGAGATTAACAAAATGCTTGTAATACCACAAAACAGAAGGGTGTCCACAAGTAGTCAAGCACAAATAACCTCAAAAGTGTACAGAAAAAAGAATATCACAAACAAAACAATACAGAGAATTACAATCAGTAAACGTAGAAACAACAGGAGATCCATATCATCACAGACTCCCGCAGTAAAGCGTAGAATGCCCCAGCAAACCATAAGCAAACAAAGAATCATTGACCATTAGCCCGACGTATTCAGTAAACACAGAAATATACACCAACTATGGGTGTAAGTCTTTATGTGTGTATATACACGCGATTATAAATATAAATTCATCTATTATTATTTCTTTTTCCCACTGTAAAAAACAGATCATCATTATCATTACAGTGCAAGCCCAGGCACACACAGAGAGAGTCTCCAAGAACACACACACACACATAATGGAGTAGTAGCAATAATAATTATTATAGGATAAACATAAAGAGAGAACAAAAACACACACAAAACAGAATAACATTGAGAAACAAAAAAAAGAAGGTAATTCCAACAGGTGGAAGATTAGTTAGACTGTAGGGATACATGCAAAAAAGAAGAAAAAGAAAACAAAGGATGACCTGAGTCACACCACACCACCACCATCACTACAATCAGCACACAAGAATACAGGCCAGTGTAACCACAATCAGTAGTGGCACACGCACCCACACAGAACTGCTGATACTGGTGCTGCTGTCTGCATCACCCTTCTTGTTGTTTGCAGGTTCAGGAGGAAGTGTTGTTGTGGTGGTGGTGGTGTTAGTGGTGGTTGCTTCTGTATTATCTGCAGCACCTACTTGGGTACTTGTTGATTCACCCACTGCAGGTGTACTGGCACTCCCAGTATTTGTATTATCTGTAGATGCATTTGTGTTTTCAGTTTCCGCTGGTGAAGTTGATGCAGGAGTCTCAGCACCAGCGATGACAGATGATTGCAATTCATTATTTTCTTGTTTGTGTGGATTTGTTTGAGGTGAGGATTCCGTATTAAGTGCATTACCATTCCTTTCAGTACCCTGTTCTCCTGTAATCCTGGGGTTGTTGACTACGG